TGGCCAAATCTCATGACCCAACCACACGGTCGTCAGAGGCTTGTGTGAAGTTGCTTTAGTAAACTAAGAGCCGTGAAGGAGGAACTTGGGAATTCACTTGGACGTAAGGTTTTTCTTACTGAAGAAAAGCTCCAAAGCAATGCGGAGGAATCACGGTGTCCAGGCAACACTTGGATTTTGCCTCTTCAGGAAAACGTCCCTGTAGGAGGCCTTGCTTGCTCTCTGCCCACGGATGGATTCAAACTGCGTCTCAGTTACTAGCTTTCATTTTTAAAGCCCTCCCACCCAAGACAGCCTTTGCAGAGAGTTTGCCAAGTGCCTCCCTGCTGCTTTGTCTGTCTGTGTTATTCCTCCTTGCATTCTGTGTGTGGTGCCACAAGTTTTTTCTCCAGAGCACGGGTCATGGTGCTTTTAAAAGTGAAAGTTAGAGAGTGAGAGATTGGCTGCAGCAAATTTAGAAGTGGGGCAGGGCTTTGTGATCTAGAGAGTGCCAAGGGTGTAAAGGATGTTTCTAGAAGTCCGAAGGCGAAGCTTACCTTAAAACAGAAAAAAAAAAAAAAAAAAACCCAAAAAACTCAAGGGCTTATAGTGCCTTATTCAGAGTGGAAGAATCAATGCTTATAATGGATGGAACTAATAGAATATTTTAAACTGAGTAGAATGAGCACCCAATCACTTAAAGGAGAGTGGTCCAGAGAATCTGCTTCACATACCCTGTGGCCAACTCAGACGGAATGAAATACGAATATTTAAAGTCAGGGTCTGGGTTCCTTGGTATATTATATATTCAGAGTCCACGTGGATGAATTCGTGCAGTGTGATCTCGCTGGGGGTTCTTAAACACAGCCTCGGTAGAGTTCTGCTTTTCTGCCCAAGCTGTACAGTGCTTGCTGGCCTGAGTCTCCAGAGATTTCAGGTCACCAGCCCTAGTGAAAGTCCCAGAATGTAAATTCTGCAGAAGGGATGGAAGAAGATTAAGGGCAGCCCGACAGCAGGCCTGGCCCGTTATCTTATCAAGGTCACTCGGCCCTCACTGTCTCAGAGGGATTTCCAGGCCTAAAGTAATTCTTCTGTATTTGTTTTACAATCAGAGCGGTATTTCCTCAACTCTCCCAGAAAATATGTGGTTTCCAACAGAGACCCGCTCCGTGAAATGGCATCTACAAGTTCAGGTTGGACATAACTGGTACATCCTTTTTTTCCTTCCCAGCCTTTGTTTCCTGGTTAATTCCCTCTAGATCTATGGCTCTCACTCTGTCACTTTGGAATCGTATTTATTGTCACCCCTGCAGAAGTCTGGAGATGTGCAATCTAGGCTTGCGCTCTTTCCTTTTTTTCCTCCGGTACGCGGGCCTCTCACCGCTGTGGCCCCTCCCGTTGCGGAGCACGGGCTCCGGACGCGCAGGCTCGGCGGCCACGGCTCAGGGG